ACGGCTCTTATATTTTGAAATAGATAATAATTAAATCTGTTTGAATTGAATGTTTTCAATATTATTCATATATATTTTTATTGTCAAAATTAAAGAACCAAACACATACTGCTTACTACATTGTTAGAAAATTGTTCAAGAATGGAAAGCACCAAAAAAAGTTTTCTTTTTTATTTAATTATAGTTATAATAAATATTAATTGTCATTGATCAATCATCCAATCCACTGTACCGATTGTCCAGCTGTTAGATGAATACTTCCTGGATATTTCACATTATTAATAGCAAGTATATTCAAAGATAAATTTCCAATTGCTAATGTAAATGTATACGATGATTATCCATTTAATAATGGAGTTGCACTTATTGATCCAAAAGTATTGGGAATAAGTACAGGCAAAAGAAATGGTGATCGTAATTTAGGTGAAAATAATAATATACCTTTTGTTAAATCTGTATATTGACCTGTAATTGCAAATGGTAAATGCCATAAAACCATATGAAAACTATAAAGTGATGTAACCCATGGTTTTCCTCCAATACCATAACCATCACTTGCTTATAAACCATGTGTATTCCATTGATCATTTAATATTTGTCTTACATGATTTAAACCTTTTTTCGATTGTATTAATGCACTATCTAAATCTATATTAAACCATAAATTTAATACAGACCAATCTTGTGATGCACTCATCCATATAGAATTATCTTGTGGATTTGTTAATGGTTCTCGTTCAGTTAACATTCTTAAACCATATGGTGTATCTGCTAATCGTACTTCACTTTCTAAATGTTTTTTCATTATTGATATACTATATAAAGGACCTAAACCATATGTAAATGCTAATACTTGACCATACAATGCATCTGTAAATATTGCTTTTTCACCTTGTCCACCTGTATAAGCTAAGAAATAACCTGTATCTATACTATCATTATACCATAATAATTGATTAATTTGCTTAATAGCAATAAAGTATGATTCATAACATGCATAATATGTAGTTGTATCATTCATAATAGATGTTAATTCCATACATGCACGTAATGCAGCTAAATGCATGAATGAATTAAATGTTGTTGTTGGATATTGACTCAAATATGGTATGTCATATGTACATTCTAAATGTTCTGGTAAACCTACCCAGGTTGAGTAATCCGGCTACTGGATTCCGGCGGATCCTGTTGGAAACCTGGCTTAATCCGGTAAATTCCGGCTGGATCTGTGTTGGAAATCGCCGGAATCCTTGGTATCGGAATTCGGTCGGAAGTTGTCGGATGTCGGACCCGACGATTTCCGACGGCCGGATCCTATAGTCGGAAAAATCTGGCAATGACAGGATCCGATGTGTATCTCTTTAGTTTTCATAAATGCAGACTTCAATCAGTTTATTAATGATATGGATAAGTTTATTTTTAATTAGTTTTAACACACAATCACAAAAAAAGGTGTTATATAACAATAAAAAAATAAATGCGTGAAAGACAAGTTTTTCACATAGATAATTTGTTTCATGAGAATAGCAAAAAAAAAACAGAAAATAGTCTTATTTTGGCAATTGTACTACTTAATTCAGTTTTGGCTTATGAAGTCCTATGTAAAAAAAATTTGCTTTAAAAAATCACGAAATGATCGATTTTTAATCGATTATAATCATACAATTTTAATTAATAATTTAAGTAGTAATAATCATGGCAAAATCAGGTTTTAATCGATTATTTCAATTATTCTGATTATAATCGATTTAGAGTATTTTTTAAAAATCGATTATAATCAGAATAATTGAAATAAACAATTAAAAGTAGAATAATTCAAATAACCGATTAAAATTCGATTTTGCTATGATTATTTCTGCTTCAATTATTGATTAAAATCGTACGATTATAAGTGATTTTTAATCGATTATTTCATGATTTTTTAAAGAAAATTTTTTTTACATGAGACGTCACCAAGACCCAGTGAAAAATATTTTGAAAAAAAACGGAACAGAATGGTTTCATAAAAATATGGAAACCTTTTTTCTATGTAAAGAATGCGTTCATTTTGCTAGTGAATGCGTTCATGTTCAAGAAGAAACACTCTCAGTCTGAAGGAACTCGTTCTTTGCCGTTCCACAGTAAGACGGAATACTTTCTTTCCTATTGAGAAATTGTTCTCTATTTGAAGGGAAAGCATTTCGAACCATTCCTAAACCAGTAGAATCCATCCTAGTTCATTCTTTTTCGGAACGGCACAGATAGCAATCCATCGAAATAAGATCGCTTTCTTTTACGTTTTCTAGAGAAGCATTAAAAGAATGAATTCTTCTAAGTGATGAATACTTTCTTTTGGAATTAAAGCACATTTCGATTCAAAAATCAAAGATCTGAAGCAAAGCAGGTTGAAACTGATGTGAGAAATGGTGGAACCTTCAGCTAGTTATTCTTTGGGGATGCTACTTCTGATTTAGAAAAAGCATGATTTTAATAACGGTTTGAGTTACAACGATTTGGAGCACGCCATTCGATCGAACTCGTTGAGTTACCCCGGAAATGGTCTTTTGATGAATTAAAGATTTATCCATTAATGATTAGCCGTATGATCAAGAAAGTAACCTTCTCTCAAGAAGAGAAAGCATTCCAAAAGTGGTGGAAAGCGTTCCAAAAGTGATGGAATGCTTTGTTGATCGTTCCGTTTTTGGAACGACTAAGAACACGTTCCAAAAGTGATAGAATGCGTTCTAGACCGTTCCAGTTTGGAATGCTTTCCATTTTTTTCGGAACGTTTTCTTTTCTTAAAAAAAGGGCTTTCAATTTCTTGGAACGCATTCTCAACCGTTATTTTTTACAAATATTTTTCACTGGGGAGATGAAGATATTAAACATTTTGTTCACTTCTCTTGCGATGACGTTTACGTTCATTAGATAGAAATTCTGCTAATTTTAGTCGAATTAATTTGTTATAGAACTCATCGTAACGATCAGCAGCAATATGATATTTACTACGCAAAGCATCTAAAAAGAAATTTAGATCGAATACAAATATTCTGGAAATGATCTATGAATAGCTATATAATCATTTATACATTTATAAATAGCTAACTACAAGATACTGAATCAATTAGTTTCCAGGATGGAAAAATTTTCATCATTTGTCAAAACAATACTTTTTCTTTCACTAATAATAGTCAAAAAAGAAAATCATCCTTTTTCATAATAAAAAATAGTAGAGCTTCAGTTATGGTTAATACTCTGTTGCAAATTCCAAAACTAGATTCACGGAGAGCTATTTTACCATGAATAAATGAAAAATTTCGTTGCAGTACTGTCTTAATCTTGCTCTAATAGTTTTAATAATTATAATATTACATACTATGGAGAAATTCGAATTTTTCAACATCTAATGGTTTTCTCGCATATTGCTGACCTTCTGGAGGTAAGATTGAAGAGATCAATTCTTCATCTGAGAAGATTTTACGAAGTACTTGTCTACCATAATCTCCCACATTTTTTGCTCGAATACGTGTTAAATTAATGTTGTTGTATATCTAAATGGTAAAGTAGAAAATAAAATTGAAAAAAGTTTCAAACAAACCACGTCATCGAACTTTTGATCTTGACTTGATTCACGAAACGAAGAAAGATCAATCTAGAAAAGAATAATTCAAAACGTCATAGTAATAAGATGAAAGTACTTACTGCATTAAATTGATTTTTACGATCAATTTTTTTTGATAATAACATATACTGTTTTTCATTTTCTTGTCGAATTGTTTTAAATTGAATATCGATATGTTTAATCAGAGACGAAGCTACAAAAAAATCGATTATGCATTAATTTCACTGTAAAGAAAGTTAAACAATTCTCATTTGATGGAGATGTTAGAAGTTCATGATTATTTTCTTCATCACTAGAAAAATCACCGCCTAAAATAGAGATAGCGAAAAAGAACAGCTTATTTGTTCATATACACTGTAGAAATAAAACTTTTCATGAGTGTAAAATGTGTAGAAGCTATACACATCCTATGGATATTCTTACGTTAACCTGTATTTTAGATTTGCTCACTATCATTAATCTCAGAAGAATTTACTAAATTAAAATTGTTAAATATCTAAAGGTTACTTCATAAGTGATAATTTACCTTGAATATTTCTTTGAAGATCATCAATTGTTTTTTCTGTTTCAGGGTGTACTGCTGAAATACGATGATTAAGTTTTGCAAGTGGATCAAGTGAAATGCGTTTTTGCTGAGGTGTTCGTGATTTTTTTGATAAATCTGGAGCTGAAAATATAATAAATAAGAATCAACGTTAATTCTATCAAAATGGAATGAAAAAATTCTTTGCTAGGAAAACAATTTTTTTAATTAAGTAATATTTTTTTTCTGCAAGTCCTTTCGAGTAAGGGTGTGGGTGTTCATTTCTCTTTATCCACACCCACACCCACACCCACACCCACACCCACACCCTAGGTAATGATTACACAAACAGTCTGGATTTCTTTTATTGAGTATAGATGGTAACAGTAGACAGGATCATGAATCAACGAATATTAATGTATTTACTTTGTCGTCTATCAATAGAAATTTTTGATTATGTTTTTCATTTGTGTTTGTTAATGAAGCTCAAGAATTTCAGCATACGGAATTTACGATTTTTTTCAGCGAAAAGTATTGAGAGCCACCTCACACCATGACTTCAGAATAAACATGAGCATGAATAATTCAAAGTTTTTTTTTTATTAATTTTTTCTCGGTGAGAGAATTTTTCTCTCTATACGTATATGTTCCTCTGTATTCGTAACTGATGCCAGAGACGACAATTGCAACGGTAGGTTTCATGTCTCTTGACAATCAGAGAACGTTGCTTCTATCTACAACAAATGAATGCAGAACACGGACACGAACAATTCGAAATTTAAGTTTTCTTTCTTGTTTTTGTAAGATATTGGTGTAGGTATATATATTCGTTTTTGGATTATACATGGGAGCCACTATAATGAGTTAGTTGTGAGCTACCAAAACTTATGAGAGGTTTATTTATTCGTTGAGAACTTATTCTATATAATTCTTATGAAAGAACTGTATAGGTTTGTCTAAACATGCTAGAAAACTTATCGAAAGGTCTACATAGATTCCAACGGGAATACATTTTGGTAACTGTTGAGCTTCGATAAAAAACAAAAATTCTCAATAGTTTGTCTCTTTTTAACCTTTAGCCTCTATCGTAGTCATTCGGACATATTGAAACAAGCTTCTGATTGCAATGTTCCATAATATTAAGCATGATGAAGACTTATTCTTGGCTATGATAAAAATAAAGTGATTCGATGCGATCGGAATTCATTTTATATCATCTCTTCATAGCAATTGCATGTTGTTTTTAAAATTTCATTGATTCATATACGTTTAGAAACTTAAGACTGCCCTCAAACAAGTAGCTTTCATCTATCACACAGAACAGAAATAGTTATGATAGTTAATCACTATAGCTTTATTATGTACATGGAAAGTAGTAAACAAAAATTAATATTTTCATTCCTTTTATGCTAGTTATTATAGTTGTTTTTTATTCACCAAAGTAACTCGTATAAATTATTTACATTTCTTCCATCCAGGGAATCGTATCACATTTTAAGATATAAAGCGCTTTTAATGATAAAAAAAACTTTTTTAATGATACACAGATTTTATACAATCCTATTGATTCATTTATTATGGTACTTTTGCTGAATGTTGTTGACTACTATTCCCTGCAGCAGTGCCTTGAAATATTTCATTAATAATGGTACGAAAAATGTTCTAGAATCGTTAATAACACGGTTTCGATTTCGCTAAGAGTAATTTATTTCATTTTCAGATTTTTTTCTTGCTAATCAGCATAAGAGCAACTGTAGATGAGTAAACTATATGTTCGCTTAGTTTAACTTGACTTCAATCATTCATCATTGAATGAACAATACCGATGGATATCGATAATTGCACAACATCAATGTCAATATTGATCTTTCCTACGACTGAGGGAAATTTCTTTTTGACAAAATTAGAAGGACTATAATAATGTTAGTATCATATTTTAAAC